AAGCTCAACTGCACCTCAACTTAGAAAAATCTGAGTTTGGCAGGGACAGTGTCATCTATCTTGGGCACCAGTTGTCTGCAAACGGCCTTGAGCCGGAGGCAACCAAGGTTGAGGTCATTCAAAACTGACCTCAACCGACGAACGTACGCTAATTGCGTTCTTTTCTCGGTTTGGCTTCTTATTACCGGAAGTTTGTACCCAGATTTTCTATTATTGCTCACCCGCTCTCAAGACTAACCAGCAAGAATGTTGCCTATGCATGGTGTGAGAAGTGTGAGACTGTGTGAGACTGTGTCCAAAAAGCCTTGAAAGAGGCATTGGTGAGTCATCATGTGCTTCGCATTGCCGATCCCAACCTCACTTTCGTAGTCACTACGGATGTGAGCCAGTTCGGGATTGGTGTTGTGCTGCAGCAAGATGATGGTGATGGCCTGCGTCCGCTCGAGTACTACAGCAAACGCATGCCCAGCCATAAGGTAGCTACTTCCACCTATATGCGTGAGTTTTACGCCCTGCGCGAAGCCCTCGCACATTGGAAACACTACCTCTTGGGTCGCCACTTCAAGGTCTACTCTGATCATCAGACCTTGCAGTGGATTCAGAAACAATCTGAACTCTCCTACATTGACCCGCTGGTTGCATGACATTGATGTCTACAGCTTTGAGTTGAAACATAAGAAAGGTTGTTATAACCGGGTTGCTGATGCGTTGTCCCGCCATCCTGAATTCTTGACTTGCCTTGTGGGTTCATACGACCTCCGAAGAAAACTGAAGGAGGATCTGGTTGAACACACCGCCAAGGATCCGGACCTCAATCCCATCCTTGAGCAGCTCAAGGCTGACCCTAACAGTCAGCCTGATTTTCATGAATGTGAGGGTCTTGTATTCCGCCGGTATGGGAAGTTTGACCGTTTGTATGTACCCAACCATGCGCCTCTCCGAACTCATTTCTTGGATTTGGCACATGGTCGTAGTGGACATTTTGGCTTTGAGAAGACTTATGGAAGTCTTCTGCAGCAATTTGATTGGCCGGGAATGAAAGGATGTGCTCAGAAATTCATTGCTGAATCTCAAGTATGCCAAAGAATCAAGGTCCACAGGCATAAGCCTTATGGCCTACCCAGACCTCTCCCCATTCCTGATGGACCCGGTGAATCGATTCCATCGACTTCACGAACATGGGAAAGGTGAGTGAGGCTGGGAATTCACAAGTCATGGTCATTGTGGACCGCTTCTCCAAATTTATGAACTTGATTCCTCTCCCTCCTCACGCCCCGACTGAACTTGTCATAGAAGAATTCCATCAGCAGTACATTCTGCAGCCCGGCGTCCCGAAAACTATTGTGAGTGATCGGGACACCAGATTCATCAGCAAAGATTGGAAAGACTTCACATCTCAGATCTACGACATCAAACTGAACAGGACTTCTGGTCGACACCCCGAAGCCAACGGATTGGCTGAGGAGATCAACCAAACTGTCATCCAATTGCTTCGCGCACTAATTGTTCCAGATCAGAACACGTGGGACAAGGAATTGCACAAAGTGAAGGGGTTATTCAACAAACCCTATCACTCTGCAGTATGGATGGCCGATGCGTAATCCCCTCTCCTATCTGTTCCCCGAACGGTCACCTAGTCTGATGCCCGGCATGCCAGGCTACAATGCCAAGTACGCACGCTTGCTCCAAGCTGCTACAACAGCTATGAACAAGCGCCAGCATGCCATGATCAAACATGCCAATAAGCTGCGCAAAGAAGAAACATTCAAAGTAGGGGATTATGTTTGGGTCAAAATGTCTGAGTTTTCTGATGAAGAGGGCATATCACGGAAGCTTCTTCCACTGTACTACGGCCCTTGGCAGATTTTGAAGGTAGTCGGGGATGACTTTGGCCCTTCATTTGTGATTGACGTGCCTCCTTATCTGCGCACGTATCCGGTCTTTCATGCGTCCAAACTATTCCCACACATTGATGATGAGACCTTTCCTTTCCGGGATGATACCTCGCCCTATCGACGRCGGCCATGAGATAGACACAATCGTATCTCACGAGGGCAGAGGGAGGAACAGACAGTATAAGGTTCACTTCCTCTATCACCCRTTGACTGAATTCTTCTGGATCGACCGGAAAGAGCTGCTAAAAAGTGCTCCCCGTGTTGTGAACGCTTAYGAAAGACAGATCACCGAGGGAGAGACCGCTAAGTTCGTAGCAGCAATGACTCCTCATGGATTGACCAAGTCTCTTTTTCTGATGTACTCCTACGATGCGTTCTGTACCGACTCTGACTGAGTTACTCGCTCGAAGGGACCTCGCTCTCGAG